GTACTGCTCGAGTGAAAAATACACACAGGTCCTGCTGGCCGAAAGTCTGGGGAACTCCACTGTATCTCATTTTAAGAATACAGAGTTTACACGTACAGCCTATCTAGTTAGTTGAGTATTTAGTAGTCAACCGACCCCAAGATCTCAGCCAGCCAATTCTTGACAGAATCCAGGGTATGGGCTTCAACATCAGCTTGTTCCACACTCCCACCACCCTCTGGGTAAAGAATTTGCCTCCTCTACTCAGTTTTAAATGTACTTCCATGCAGTTCCCACTAGTGACCTACAGCTCGTGTTTATGAAACATTTCAAGCTGCATTAGGAAGAGAACGTATGTTTCGGAGACGTATTGTTTCTATTTCATACGCCCAAAAGTATAGGAGAAGAAAGCACACAGAGCTCAGCACACATCACATTCACTTGTGCAGTAATGCAGGGGGGTTGGATTAACACAAAGCACTTTAAAACCGTGTCCGTTTCAGACTGGTGACAATAAGCATGCAGAGCCAGGTCAAAGGGGATCTTTTGACTGAATTTTTGGGACACGTCCTACCCTAGGATTTTAGAACTGGCTATTGAAGTTGAAGCCAATAAACATCGGAGCCACAAAACCGCTGGAGTGGATTACCCGCTTCTCAAAGGGATTTGTGCAGAAGGGGGGGGGATTACCTCAGCACACCCTCTACCTGCTACAATCGCTCCACTGCTAAGGATCAGCACTCGGCCACCGTTTCCTCTCCTGGAGCTGGGGCATGCTGGGAAACCGAACCCACGAGCCGTCCAAGCACCAGGCAAGACTGATTTTCACCAAACAGGAGAACTGTTTCGGGGTGGGGGTTCATTATGGAAATGCAGGTTTACCGCTTGGAGGCAACATTAAAATCTACATCAAACAGCACCAAGAATGCAGTTAAGTATTTTCACCCCATAAACAGGCAGGCATGCAGCCTTTGTGATCTGTCAGCCTCTTTGAATTCACAGATCTCTGGCTTACAGAGGCACAGGCTTATAAATACGCAGCGACCCAGCAAAGTCACCTGGTGTCCACAAAAAGCCTTTGAACTGAAGACGATTATTCCAAATGACACGACTTGTAAAATCTGAAAATCAATACGAATCAAAACAAGGACCCAAAACTCTCACCCCCTTACGCTGTACGGGGATATTTTCCATCCCCTCTCTCCCCCGCCTTGTCTAATAACGCTGCACTGACAGGCTGAAGGAACCTAACCTCTTTAGTCTTGAGCAGAGAAGGCCACAAGGGGACGGCATACAAGCATTCAGTATCCAGTTTCTTCAGAACCAGCAGTGAAACACGAACCAGAGGCCGTAAGGGGAAAACGTGAAAATGCATTCAAAACCAACAACAGGAGGAGCTACGTTACACAAAGGGTGGTGGGTGTCTGGAACAAGAAGCCCACCCATGTTATTGAAGACCTCCCCCTGGCTTCTTTCAAGAAACAGCTGGATTAGATCCTCGGGTCAGGACCACAGGCACTTCTTCACACAAAGGGTGGTGGGACTGTGGAACAAGCTTTCCCAGGAATGTTACTGCGGCCCATACTCCTCTCAAGAAACAGCTGGATGATACCATAACTACCTAATCAACAAACGGGTTGGACAGGCCCAACGGCCTCCGCTTGCTTGTCACCTCTCTTGTGTCATGCCGTTATCCACAATTCCCGACCTCCACCCGATTTCACCTTCTCCCTCTCCCAGCCCAGACTGCACAAACCGGTTTTGGCAGCACAGCTGAAGCCGCCAGCAGGCAACCCGAGCAGCCTGTCGGACTGGCGGCGGCAGCCCTGTGAGCTGGCACTGCGGAGGAATCTGCGTCCTCCACAGGCAGCTCGGTGGCAATCAGGGGGGGGGGTTTTCCCCCCCTCCGCGCTCAGCAGCAATCCCCCATCACCGGGGATCCCAGCGAGAGGGGCCGGGGGCAGCTGGCACGTGCTGTCTGGAAGAGGTGCAGCACCAGGTCCTGCTCGCCACTTATCAAGAACGGCGGCAGGGGCTAATCAAGATGGGGATAGCTAAATTTCCTGGCGACGGCTTCTCTGCTGGCGTCCACACACACACACACACACACACACACCTGCTGGAGAACTCCCAATGCACAAACGGAGCAGCGGACTGGAGAGCAAGAGTGATCCCCAGCAGGCCGCCTTCTACACCGTCCGTTACTGGCCAGCGGCTCCTTCACCCTGCAGCTCACAGCTGGCAGCCCACTGCAGCTCAGCAGGTGTGGGCCAGGCCAGTACCTGGATGGGAGACCTCCTGGGAAAAACTGAGGATGATGTTGGAAGAGGTGTTAGTGGGGCCAGCAGGGGGCGTTCACCCTGCAGTCTGTGTGGGTCCTAATGCCCCAGGATAGTGGTGAGGACACCATACTGTAAAAAGGCGCCGGCCTTCAGATGAGACGAAAAAGCGCAGTCCTGAGTCTCTGCGGTCATTAAAAATGCCAGGGTGTTTCTTGTAAAGAGTAGGGGGTTGTGATCCTGGTGTCCTGGCCAAATTTCCCCCCTGGCCTTTACCAATCACGCCTTCTTAATATTCCCCTTCGTTACTCTGTTCTCCTCCCCAAGTGGTGCACTATGGCTGCCATTGTGTCAGACAGGTGGGGCTGCACATTGTGGTGGAGGGGATTCCCAATTACCAGGAAAACACTTTGAGTGGAGTGTCCAGAAAAGCACTAAGTGTAAGAAATTATTATTATAGGGGGTAAGAGCAGTGGAACCACACTGGTGCTCATAAACACAGGGGGGAAAACAATCTGCTCCAGTCAGTTCAGCGCCTGATTCAATATCGAACAGTTCTTTGACATGGAGGGGTGGGCCACCCTGATGCAAGGCGAAGCCGAGCCAGACTCCAGACTCCTGCCTGCACCCCGGAGTCAGCTCAGAGCATCTCTCTTAAGTCTTAAATCTCATCTCCTCAGGCTGGACAGTCAGCAGCTCCAGCTCTGCACTGAAGGGATAGCGACCTTTGACCTCCTTTGACCCCTGACCTGTTTGTGTGTGGGGGGGGGAGTGGTGCTGGCGGGTTGAGGTTGCTCTATATTCGACAAGCTGCCCCAGTGTGAACTTCACCAGCCCTTCAAAGCCGATTGGCACTGTTGATGCTCCCTTCGATGAAAATGACCTGCGATTATAGAGAGCATTCCAACCCAAAGAGCGTCCCGAGGAAGGAGTGATGCACTTTACCTCTCACTGGACTGACAGGGGAGGCGAGTGAGGAACTGTTCCACCAGCTGCATTAAGCAGGAACTTTTGAGAGGCCAAACTATTCAAGCCCAGAGTGCTGGAATTTATCCAGGACATGGGAGGGGGGTCCTTGAGCCAGTTTTTTTTTAACTTTTACTCTACTTATTTGCAAAGAGCGCCCTGGGATCTTTAATGACCAAGTTGGCGGGACTTTGGTTTCACGTCCTACAGCACAGCGTCTCCTGCCAGGATACTGAGGGCACTGGTGTGGGAACTGTGGTCCAGTCTCTCTCCAGACACTTCTCCAGGTCACTTCAGACCCCAATCCCCACTGCCGCCTTTTAGGACCTGACCCTTGAAGCCAGGCGAGAGAATAAGCCCAGTGGTTCGGAGGAGAGGTAACAGTCCGTGGAGACAAAACGAGAAACCGCGACATCCAGGGTGAAGCCGGGCGCGCAGTTGGGCATCACGTACGGCGCAAGGCACGAACAAGGGAAATGACTGGGAGTCGCCGTTTCCTCTCCGGCACAGCAGGAGTAGTAGTAATAAAAACAATAACAGGGATCCGATGTCGGAAACGGGCCGAAAAAGACAATTTTATTAACCTCGCAACACGGAGCCCAACGAGGGCCAATTAACAGGCCAAACCCAGACCGCCCGCAGGGGTAAAAAAAAAAAACGTGACACGTCCGAAACAACTTCACCCAGCAAGACGGCTGACGACTGCTCGGAAGTAAAACTCCCACAACTTTTACATAATGTACCATGTCACAGACCTTAGTGACAAAACATGCTGCTGTCGGGACACTCACGCCGCCTTGCAAGAGGAGACTTATTCGGCCCAGCGGTAGTGTGACTTAATTAGAGGGTGACGGTCTCCACCGCAGCCGCTGGTTCAAGAAGACCCCGCGCTGTGTCGCGTTTGTAACCACTGATCGGGGCTGCAGCTCGTCACGGGGGACGCGTCTGCCCTGCAGGCTACTACATCACGACAAGCCCACATCCACGCAGCGCGCAGGATGCGGCGGACTTGGACTCGCCGCGCATTTAAAAATATCTAGCAAATTACAAGGCGAGCCCCGGGTAGCCGCAATACGTGTTCTGTTCAATATGTGGCCTGAAAGGTTGTGTGTTTTTTTTTCTCTTCTACAGTTACAGTTTCTGCGTGCGTATGATCGTACAGATTCGATCCCATCTAAAATAGGATCGGCTTTATTGAACGATTAAAAAAAAAATCACGGTCAGCTGTTTTGTGTTTGCAGGGCAGGCAACGGCAGCACCCACGCCGACCCTTTATAATAAAGAGCCCGTTTTACTGACCACGTTAAGAGCCAACGTTAACTTTTTAACATGTTGACCTATTTTGCGCCAAAGACAGAAGAGACGAGCAGCAACCTAGCCTACAATTAAGTACCCCACTGACCCAAAAAAAACTTCCCTAACAAACACAAAAGCGGACACTGTTTAAGGTTAAGGTAACCTTAATTGATTGAGGTAACTCCCATCAACTTGATGGGGTGTAACCGGGCCAACAAGAACAACAAAAGATTTGGAGGTTGTTGTTTTTTTTTTCAGTTGAACGACTTTATAAAAGTCTTTTGGACAAGGCTCGCCAATTTAGCCAGCAGAGCATGAAAAATCAAAACGAAATCCGCCTTTCTAGTCAAAAGAGCTGCGCGTGTGTTGTGTTGTGCTGGGGTGGGGGGGGCGGTTAAACTTCAAAGAAAAGGAAAAAAAAGATGCATCTCATTTTAACTCCAGTATAAAAGTAAAAAATAGCAAGAGGATTAAACTTACCCAAAGGTCCGTGCCCCAGTCCATCGCGACAACGCCTGGGAGTTTGCAGGAGTCCAGAAGTGTCACGACCCGCCGCACAGTATATCCCGAAGAGACGATATATGAGCGCTACAAAACCGAGAGATCGATGGATAAACTCTTCCCTGATTAAGCGACATCAAACATTTTTTCCCTTCGCTCTTGCGCCTCGTCTCGCAGTCGCAAAGCGAGGTGGGATGTTCCAGCCCTCGTATCCGCGTCACTCCCAGATCCTCAATCCTTAAAGGGGCCGGGCAGTAATTCCTGCTCGGCGCAAGGCGACCCCGTGTTGACTCGGCGGTGCGCTCTGCTGCCGCGCCTATCAGCTACAGACCAGGGGCTGGAGCCGTTTCCTATCGCTGTTGCCGTGTTTCGATTAACGCGCAAAAACTGGAAAAAGTTATCACTCTGCTTTTAATAACAGTGAACAAAAATACGATTAAGGAAAGTCGTATTATTAAACGAAAGAGTAAAAATAACTCTTTATACCTTATTTTTGTACCCTTTCGTTTAATAACGAGACGTTTCACACACAAACACTTCGGTATTATTGTGTTAATATACGATTCTACTCTCTTTTGTGCGTTTTAATTTAGGGATAGATGAGCCTCTTATTTCATTGTATACGCTGGCTCAAGCGATTCCGTGCTTCCGGTGGGAAACGTGCGTTTCCTCACGAGTAACAGCAAATACCGAAGTGCTTGTGTGTGAGACGTCTTATCTGCTTTGGGCGCACAGAGATTAGGTGGGACAGTCGAGCTCCCGGGATTGTAGAAGCCGGATTTGAGTTTGAGCCACCTGGAGAGGTACGATAGGAGCTTCACCACAGCTCCGCCTAGCGGTGGCGCGGAATACGACACCACGAACCTGAGCTGGAGCCTGCTTTAAAAACGCGATTGAAAGAAGGTAAATGCGATCATAATAATCCACAGGAACAATGAAGGGGACATTATTCAATTAAGACTCACAACAACAATTACCATCCACAGAGCCTGTCGTGCGTTTGTCAAGGTGGCCATCCCTCGTGTGAAATCCGATTTGGTTGGCGGCGACACGACATACATAGCAGATTACAAACTAACAGCTATCAGAAAACTGATGTGTTTTGATACAGACGTGATGAATGTTTCTTTACAACGAGGGTGGTGAGTGTCTGGAACAACCCGCTCGGCGGTATTATATATGATGAGTAAACAATTATGAATCTGCCGGCTGAGACACTCTGATCAATAAATTACAAGCAACCAAAGAAGAAGGGTGACTGGAAATATACTGAATATCTTCATAGAATGTAAATACGCGATAATTCTGTGTGTTTTAAAGTTTTTTTCGTCAATTTTTCTAATTTGTAAACTATTCAAACTTTAATGTTCTGTGAAGTACGAAGCACTGTGAATCTGGGATGTGCGTGATGTGCAGAAAGCTCCATCTTGCGGCAAAAAGTGGAAATTACACTTCCAACACGCTACTGTGCAAGAAGGTCAGACAAATGTCCTCCTGCCCTCGTTATCAGCAACACTTTTTCAATTCACTTGCACAGTTTGTGCATTCGCCCAAAATAGCCCTGAGATGCAAACCTTTCATGTATTTAGTGAAGACATTTTCCTGTACACCCCACTCTTCGACTCACTGTCAAAAGCAATTTCAGCTCATATGCGGAACTGATGTGCACCTTAAAGGCAAGTGATTTTGAATTTTTGAATGCATGTCGTCTCCCAACCTGAAAACCAATGTGAAAAATGCATTCATGAGGATTTTTTTCGAAACCACGCTGAAAATTAAACCAATAAAAACACCAATTGCTAAGTGACAGAGTTATGTCTTTATTATTGACTGGAAGCAGGACGAAAGCACTGTTCACTGCAGAAGAATGCGGATGGAGTTGAAGAGGATTTGGAAAAGCAGTGGTGCGCTCGAGGGTATTACCCCAGCCCTGGCATTTATCCCAGGGTTCGGCCCATAGAGGAGGGGTCCCAGCCGGCTCATCCACCCCTAGTGCTGCCCCCTCCTGGGCCACAGATCAGGCGCCGGGGTGCGAAACTGCATCACCAGCTGACGCCACTAGGGGAGGCCGGACTTTGCAAACTCTGCAACAACGTCTGCAGCAGAAGTCGAACCCGCAGCCTTTCGGCGGGGAGCCTGTGGTCTAGACTACTCTTCCTTCCCGCGTGCAGATCCTGGCCACCTTGAAAAGATGGCCTCTTTTTGTAGATTGCCAGACCTACACTTCCCCCAGAAAGCCTGACGTCAGGAGAGTTCAGGATCTCTGGGTGGAAAGACGAACCTCCATGAAGCCTTTGCACAGCAACGCACACAAACTCTTCCCCCACAGAGCCACGGGAGAGTTTAACGAGCTTAACGATCACCCAGCAATGAAGAGATGCCCAGCGAGGCTGTCCAGCGGGTGGCAAACACAGCAGCATGCTGACGGCCCAGCATCACACCCCTTAACCAAAAGCAACTTGTCCTTCAGGGCACAAGGCAAACAGGTGACTTATTCACAGTATTTGTTTGTTCAGCCCTGCGAATCACACCTCCTGTCGCATTCTGTGGGGCTATAAAAAAGGGCAGTTCGGGTGCACAGACATGAGCTGTAAGCCGTGCAGACCGCAGCATGAAGGTAAGAGCGCTCCTATGAACTTCACCGCTCCTGTGACTGCAGAAGGTAAGAGAAGGGACCTGGAGACTCATTTTGAGAGATGAATGGCCTTGACCTCCATCCTCACAAGGGTCAATCCCGCCCAGTGTGCACAAGGCAGGTGGGTGGGGTTAACCCCCCTCTTCTGTGAAACCAACACTTAAGGACTCATTCCGAACTGCCTTATATTGTATTTTGCCTGCAACATCAGTACGATCTCCAGGTGAGCCGAAAAATTGTTTTCACACTTTGCCTTATAAAATTGCAACACAAGGCCAATGACATTTACTGGGTTACTGAGCTTTTGCGGCAACCCACAACCTCTGTGTCATACCATGATGGTGTCATTCCTTAGCCCTGACACAAGATTAAGTGTGCTGTTTCTTTATCAAATAAAATCTACACTTCAATTCTTATTCCCCTACCCAAATTACTTAGAAAAATACTTTGCTGAAACCCCATACCATGCTCCAAACAGGTTGCTCAGACTTGCTTTTTTAAACGTCTCCAAGACAAAGGAAGCGTAGAACAATATTCATCGCCCAGCGAGGATGAGGGTTAAGGGTGCTCCCTGCCGTGTGTCTCTGACCTCTCTCCCCCCGTCCCAGGCCTGTCTGTTCCTCGCAGCCCTGCTGCCAGCGGCAGTTCACCCTCTGATGTTCCAGCCCCTGGACTGTGCTGACATCTACAACGATGGCTCCACAGCGAGCGGGGTGTACAGGATATACCCTGCCGGACCCACCTCCCCCCTCTACGTCTACTGTGACATGGACACCGAGGGGGGCAAATGGACTGTAAGCTGCGGGGGGGGCGCTGTGCCATCCTGCAAACTCCGTGTCTGAAGGAGAGCTTGACCGGCGCCAGACAAGCTTGCTGGACTTTCTGAATTTTGCTGTAGGAGCTGCACTTCATTTTATTATGCGATCTATTCAGTTGTGGGAAACAAGATGTCATGTGCATCAAAAAAGTAATTTCCTTGCATCTTTAATAACCCAGGGATGACGGTAATCCCACACACTGTCATTACATTCATAGGAATTTTAAACACATACTGTTATAGATGAGAATCATGTCCGTATTTTGCCTTTTAAGCAATTTCGATATTGCCTGGGTTGCGGCTGGGTTGCTTTCCCTTACTCTACCTGAACTCTTGTCTGCAGGTATTTCAGAGAAGGACAGATGGCACGCTGAATTTCTACAGAGGCTGGGAGCAATACAGGAGGGGGTTTGGCCACGCGGCTGGGGAGTACTGGCTGGGTAATGCCTTCCTCGTTCCCGATAGCACTCTCGCTCAGGGGCAGCCTCGCCGTGCAGAGCTCACGTCTAATTCCCACACAATCAACCTCTCTGAGCAGGAACACTGCACGGCATTTTCTGTTTCCATGCTGTAGTCTGCATTCAGAGGGGGGGGGGCTTATTGAACCATTCTCTTGTCCTACAAGTACAGCATTTCATTATTTTTTGAAAGAACACAAGTGAGAATGTTTCCGATTTCACGTCGGTGACTGTGAACAGAAATTATAGATGAATGCCATCGGATGAATAGAGCCAGGCAGCAAGGTGTGACTTATCGTAACCGTCCTCTGATCTGTGACCTCTCCGCAGGGCTGGAAACCATCCACCTCCTCACCCTGCGGAAGAAGTACGAGCTCAGGGTGGACCTGCAGGACTTCGAAGGGGGTAGAGCCCATGCCAGTTACTCCTCTTTCTCCCTCTCTCCCCTGGCAGTCAATGCCGAAGTGGATGGCTACACACTCCATATCAGCGGTTTCCAAGATGGGGGAGCAGGTGGGTCATTTCTCAAGAGAACGTGCTCTAAAATTGTCCGTTCGTTTCAGAAATCCTCTTTCAGAGAGTGCCTCTTTCGCAATTTGGTGCTGCCATGCAGCTCCATAGCTGTTAATAAGAGATGAGGGCTGCAGATGACAGCTTCACAGGAAAAAAGGATGAGCTGCAAGTGGCTCAGCTTAGATTTGAACCTGAAACCTCCTGTACTGACACAACTAGGACATGCCCTGGTCACCCCATGGAGCCTTTCCTTGGGCGATCAACTAAAGAATCTGCCAGACTACACCCTGTGTCCTACTCTCCAACGTTCTCTTCCTGAGAAGCACTTTATTATTTGTGCTCGACTAAAGCACAGTAACATTTACAGGAAGAACACACTTGAAAGAAGCCCTTTTGTCATTATTCTAATTAAGTGAGAACCTTAAGAAAACCTCCAGAGATGCTGAACTCTGATTTTCTTGAACGTAGCGGTCTCTCACTTCGGATGTCGCAGTTGTTTTCTGAATATTTGTGGAAACGAAGACGAAGAAATCCTTCTCAAATTTAGCACATTTCAGCAAATTTAAATATGCTGAGATACACAGTTCTACGCAGGTGGATGCCCACTTTCTGCAAAGCTAATCACTGTCATGAACTCCCATCTTTTCTGACTTGCAGGGGATTCTCTAACAGCTATAAACAATGGGCAGAAATTTTCCACCTTTGACCGAGACCAGGATCCTGAGAATCTCAACTGTGCTGAGGTCTATTATGGTGCTTTTTGGTACGGTCCAGGGTGCCATGTTGCAAACCCAAATGGACTTTATCTCTGGGGAAGCTACCCTAGAGGCTGGGTTGGTGTCGTCTGGCATACCTGGAAAGGATCTTCTTACTCGCTGAAACATATTGAAATGAAGATGAGACCTGTGTCGTTAGCACTCTCAGAGACAGTGACAGGTTCTCAGCAATCCCTGCTGTCTCTTTCTGACCATGAAATGCTTAACCAAGACACTGAACCTCTTTAGTTCTTTTCGAGGTTGTGGTTGTGTTGTGTCGTGTAACTACTGTAAGTGATTTAGCTGAGTATTTCCATCAAATTTGTTCAGTTCTACCACTGCCAGTGGGGGTTTAGATTAAGCTGGCTGAGCCTCCAGGCTGTTCTCCTGGGGTTTCTCTAAATAGCCACAGACTATAACAGTAACTAGGGTGGGAAAAGTCTGTAGCATGTTAATGGTTTACTGTGTTTATGTTAGCAGGGAGAAGGGAGCTGTTACACAGCGGGAAATGGATTCTTCCTTTACAGAATTTTGCTTAGGAATAAGAATAATCAAAGAGAGGGGTACCTAATGCCAGTTCTGGGGGATCCACACATCTGCTGGTTTTTGTTCCACTTGAGCAATCAATTAAATAATCAAACCCTTCAGAGAACCAATGACCTCTTTAATTTGAACTCTTTGATTGTTTTTCGGTTTCTAAAACTTGTTGGAGGTTATCTTTTAAGTACTGCGTTTCTTAAGCAAACTTAACATCTCCAAACTTGCAAAGGTTCGAAGAGAGCAACTTGTTAAAAGGATTCATTTAAGTGCAGAGCTCAACTGCAATGAAATGAGCAGTGGCTGAGCAAAATAAAATGTGCTCTAATAACCTTGGATCTTGTATATGTACTGTACGTGTATATGTTTATGTATGTGTGTGTTGACTTCAGCACAGGGAACTGATAAATAAATGACACACTGTGGATGTTAATGAGCTGGAAAGAAAGAAACAGAAAATGATGGAGATGGGGCATCATTGGTGTCGCATTCAATTCAAAACAGCACCTCTCAGATTCAAAGCATCACCGAGGACGGACAGGTTTCACCAAGATCTGAACTCAGATGGCTGGATTGAAATTCCAGAGTGCTACACTTACATTAGATGGGCCAGATATGCTAAGAAACAGGTGTTCTTGGAACATAGAAATAAGGAACTTGTAGTCTGGAACCAAAAGCCCAGCATCAATACTTAATCGGGGTCTATGGAGCCCTTTAAGAAACACCTTGATGAAATTCTTGGCTCAAGCTTAAGCTATTAGTAGATCTAATCAAACTAATGATGCATAGACCCCAAGTGTCAAGAATAAACAGCAAGGCATGATTTTAAAAAGCAAATGAAGAAACAGTGCCACACTGCCAGGTGACAAACCTCTTGTTTATTATGGCTGCTTGGTGCTTTTTCACCCCTGCTGGAAGTGGAAGGCAGTTTGCTATAGTGGACAATAATGTTCCTGGTAGGAGTGTTTAGAAGGCAGGACATGAGCAATGGGACCAACAGCATCTGTTGCATTTTTAATGTCTGTCTGTATATTACTAGACCTCACACACTAGCACAGGCAATACTGGGCACCATGACAAAGTGCCTTCTGCTTCAAAGCAACAGGAAAGAAAGCACTGCACATAATAAACAGGAGGTATCAATGATTTCCCATTTCTAACTAATAACACCTCCCTTATGGGGGAGAGTGTAATGGGGCTTATTTTGTCTTTTCCCATTTGGGTGATTTATTAGCTGGGAATGTTAATGGCTTGAACCGGCCTGTTTATGGAGTAGAATGTACCACTGTGGGAGAAGTGGCAAGTGGAGCACAGGTTCATATGTGCTGACTTCACTTTCCCCTCCCTCAGATGGTGTGTGAGGCTGCCAGAGGCTCGTGAATCAAACCCAGGACCCAATGCTAATCACCTCTCCACTGTGCCGCCCCACTTTTATAAGGCCCGTGCTTAAGAATAACAGCGCCCATCTGGATGATGCAACAGCTGCCAAAGTGCGCCAGTCCGCTCACCACACATCAGCTATCAGTGAGGAGGATGACAGAGTGATGAAGCAAATTCATAGATGGAGATTATTAGGAGATCATAATTGGTAAAAGCCAGGAAACTGGGGTAACATCAATACTCAAGAATTTTTTAATGACCACAGAGACCAGGACCTTGGTATTATATCTCATCCAAAGGATGGTTCCTTTTTTTTTTTTACAGTGTAGTGTCCCCATCACTATACTGGGGCATTAGGACCCACACAGAATGAAGGGTGAGCGCCCCCTACTGGTCACACTACCACCACTTCCAGCAGCAACCTTAGCTTTCCCAGGAGGTCTCCCACCCAGGTACTGACCAGGCTCACACCTGCTGAGCTTCAGTGGGTTCTCAGCTGTGAGTTGCAGGCAGCTGTTACATTGACAGCATTTACAGTCTTTTTTAAATAATAAATGTACTAATAATTTACTAATTTACAGTTTTGGAACATCCACAGTTTCGTGTGCTGTATGTATCATGGGTTTGTCTTGAAAATCCATTTAAAATGAGCAGGCGTGACACAGGGGTGATGATACAGAACTGTAGCAGCCTAGGAGGTCAAACACAAGCCTTTTTGGATGTGACACAGCGTTTTGGTCCTCGGTCCTTTTTCTTTTTCTTTTCAAATGCAACCTCCCGACCTGTGTAATGCTTCTGCGTGGACATTTCACGTTTTCATAGTCATTTCTATTCTCACCTCTCTCACCCCCGATGCACCACCCAGTGGGGTGTCAGCTGAAGAAGACACGCCTTGCAGGAGAGGTGCCTGCTCTTACTGATAACACCGCATCTGCTCTTGAACTGATGACCGAGGTGTTGCCAACCGAAACTCCTGTGGCACTATCTGTCATGTCCAGAAATCAGCGTAAACATTACAACTTCAAGAACACAGCAGATGAGCTGCAATATTACTGTGTTTAATATTGATACAGACAAAAAAACATTGAAGACTCAAAATTTCCTTCATTTAACCTGTGAGAAGACTGAGGTCATGGTTACCAGAACCCCCCCATCAGCTATGTAAAGCCAGTGCTATAACCCTATATGTGGATGCTACTGTACTTGAGTTTTAATCGAAATTGAAGAACTTGGGGGTCATATTCGATCCAGGCATGACGTCTGACCCACATGTTCAACATATTGTAAAAACATCATTCTTCCACCTCAGAAATATCGCCAGATTACATTTTTTCTCATGTTGATAGCTGTAATGCCCTGCTCACTGGGGTATCTAAATCCACACTGAACAAACTTTAGTCAGTCCACAATTTGGCGACAAGAAACATGACCAAATGTATCACATTAATCCTGTCCTGGAGTCCTTGTACTGGTTTCCTATCAGGTTTTGTGTCAATTACAAAATCCTCAAGCTCACCTATAAGGCTCCCAGTATCCGTCTGACTTACTATCATCCTGCTCCCCACCTCGCAACTTTCTTTCCTCTAGTTCTGGTCTCCTGTCTGTCCCCCAAGCCCGTCTACTGTACACTCTATGGGAGACAGGGCCTTCTCCTGCTCTGCCCCAGAGCACTGGAGGTCTATCCCTATGGGTATCAGAGAGACCCCTTCCCTGAGCTCTTTCAAATCTAGACTCAAAACCTTCATCTTTAGAAGGGCCTTTATTTATCTAGTTCTGTGTCTGCTCCCCTGCTTTCCTTCTGCCTTTAAACCCTCACTGCAACTATTTAATTCTGCTACCTCCTCCCACAGATGGTAGTGAGTTGATAATGGCTGATGATCAGCTGGGAAAGAACAGGAAACAGAGACCGAGCACGCCTTTGAAGAGCAAGGTCTGACACTGATTGCGAATGTGTGACCCGAAAGGTCCGATTTCAAGACAGCGCTCTGGTACAGCTCCGGCAAAATAAGACTGGTCTTTTCTGTTGGGAGAACTAAAACTAAACTCCACTTGATCAAAACTGCCCCACAAAAAAAGGAAGGCGTGATGCTTCTTTTTTGGTATGAGGTTAGTATGAGGCAGTTTTGAGAGTGAATTTTAACAGGTCAGTCCCAGATATTGCGTCCATCGTTTTTAATCGATTTACGAAATGTAGTTCTCTGTTTTTTTTCTTAAAACTATAACAAAAAAAAAGAGCTCCGATGAACATAATACTTTATTGTACAACAACCGCTCCTAAGTGGCTCCTTACCTCAATCGGTGTGTTTCAGAAAAGGCTCCACATACATGTAACCCGAAGACCAAATGCAGTCATGCACCGCGGCAAAGTTAGCTTGAAGTTCCAAAACGATTTTGGCACGCCTGTAGCGTTTTCACGAAACGTCCTAGAGTTACGAAAACACTTGCTTTGTGTACAAAGCACATTGTGAATGTTTTCACAGTCTTCACTTTGTCGTTTGTATGCCATTGTTTTGACCACACACGAATATTCTTATGTCCATATCTTCGCAAGGGAAACACCTAGACTTGTGAAACTTTTCACAGCCTCTACATTATCAATTATCAGTGAGCTAATTCTCTTTTTGTAAACCTCAGGTTTTTCATTGAAGCGTAATTACACACTAACGGGAACACTGGGGGACCGCTGTGTACACACGTTCACAACGTGAGAAATACTGCTCAATACGGCTTCGTGCGAAAAACCTGTATATCACCATAGGAAGCAGCTCAGTCTCCAATTACCCAGACTATAAGCACGGGAATAAAGCTTTGTTTGATTTCTGAAACCCTTTCTTTATGTCCTGTTTTCAGTCAGGTAAGGGTCAACTATATACAAAATACTGCTGACAGCAGGAAAATTCCTATTCTTTTCTCAGCAGCTTATTAAAAACAGCACCCATGATGTTCAAACCGATTTTTTACACAGAAGACTGACACAGCTTTGCGTTGTGAATCTCTTTTTCTCGTGGTTTTATTCAATGTGGCACTATGCACTGGGATAGGGGGATGCTGTTCACGAGCCAATAGCATTTAAACCACAGCACCCACAATGCTGCAAGTAAGTGTTTTACACACTAAGCAGGTCCTCTGACCTTTCCAAGCCTTGCTTTGGGTTGAGAAACCTTTTTTAGTTTTTTTTTAAATGATTTTTTCAATATGGCACCATTAGACATGCAATACACTGGGATAGTGGGGGGTCTTCTTCATGACTCAATAGCTTTTTAAGCACAACACCCACAATGTGTTTGTGAAATTTGTTTTCTTAAACCGACGTGATCAATATCCACCCTTCCTTCCGCCTTTTCCCGTTACAAACACAATGGCGAGCTCGCTTCCTCGATACATGTAAATTCCTTTTTTGTGAAACCGAACCAGTAATCTGGACGACGGAAACCCCGATAGTGTCAATACGCGCGGCCGCAACCCACCGTCCGAGATTTCCGATGCCTCGTGATTGTATTAATAAAGTCGCACCTTCTCCTTGAACCCATTCTCCTGAAACTTCTCCTTGAACCCATTGCAGGACTTCGGCCAAGTCAAACAATTCAGTTTTCTAATGTAAGAGCTGGATGTAACGAGAACCGCCTTTGCAACACCGAAAAACAGACCTTGTTTTCTCTTCGTCACAAGTAGATTTATTCAAACCAGGTATCCACACCCCGTTTTAAATGTGCTTAATGAAGTCATGCTAGCATGGACGGCACATGGATTTTACAAGAAACAGCAGCGACTGGAATAGCGGACAGGTATATACAGTATCTCGATGCTCCAAAGCTTTGCCGTTCTGATTTTTAATATCACGTGTATTAAAAACTGTGGAAGACAAGGAAGGCACGAAGAAGATAAAATATTTAAAAAATTAATAAATGTTAACCTCGCGTCACGGTCCAGTCATCTTTCGACAGTTCCGTTGCACTAACCGAGAGATTTCGGGCGACTCGTTCATTTGCCAAGTGTCTCTTGTTTGTGGCCGCTTTTGCCCAGCCTGCACTTTCCTTTGTGTTTTGGGGGTGTTGGTCTTTTGGGGTTTTTTGTCGCTGCTCCTGAACATCGGCAAGGTCATCAGCAAAGCCGGAACGGGTGAGGTGTAGCTCATCCGACGAACATCGGAGAAACCGCCAGTCCGACAACTATCCAGCCGACCAAGGCGGAGACATCTACAGTACCAGAACAAAATAAACATGGAAACACTGTTAGAAGATTACGGGCAAGAACACGTACTGTATACAGTATGTATCTCAATTAGCAAAACTGAAAATGGCTCTTTAGAAGTGCTGTTTTAGTTGCTCTTCAGAGAACATCAGTACATCCCATTTTGAAATCTGATAGACCTGCTAGTACCAGCGACACAAAACAAGTTGGAGGTCGGTGCTTCGGGAATATTGTTCAGTTTTATCGGGGGACAAAACCTGATGCTGCAAGAGGCAGCCGCTGTGAGCTCTGTGCCTGTATGTCTGAGTGTGATTTTGAGTGTGAGCTGTGTCTGCAAGTGTCTGTGAACTGTGAGTGTGCATTTTGTCTGAGTGTGAACTTTGTGGGACTGAGAGTGAGCTGGTGTGTGGAAGAATGGAAGGCTACAAAGGAGAGGAGAACAGTTTGGCCCCATCTAACCCATTTGGTAACTGGCATCTAATGAATCCATCAGCTCATCTAGCAACTTCTTGAAAGAGGCCAGGATATCAGCTTCAGCAACATGGCTGGGCAGCTTGATCCATACTCCCACCACCCTTAGTGTAAATGTGTGTCTCCTGTTGATAAATGAATGCCTGTCATTGCCCAAGGTGAAGCTTGAACCCACAATCCTTAAATGCAGAGTCTCCAGCTCTACTGCCAGCTCCAGCTAGGATTCATTGGGCTCAGGCATCTCCTAGTACTCCATTAGTGAAAGGGAAACAGAGTGGGCGGTTAGATTTGTGCATGAAACATTCTGTAGCTTACACAGAAAAGGTTTGGGCTGAAGCAGACTTACCGGGGGCATGATTTTTTAATTTAACCTTAAATGTCTTCTGAGCTTCTCCCACCTCATTCGTAGCGAAGCAGGTGTATATCCCAGTATTGCTGGTAGAGGCTCCATTGATGGTGACAGTGGACCCTCTGTCTGTGTACTTTACAGCCACATTATCAGCTGTAGAATAAGTCCAGTTGTATCTTGGGGGTGGGTTACCATCAGCACGGCAGACCAACACTGTTATGTTACCGGGGACAGTTTGTATAGTGTCTCCTGACTGGGAAAACACAGGTTTGTCTAGAAGAAACAATTAACAATTTTAAATTTCGCCCTCTCATCACTTTGCTTTACCTTTTATCAACAATTTTGTTTCAGTCTTGGCTCTATTGTGCTGACTCGCTGTGTGATTCTTTCTTTTCTTTATTCCAATTATGTTTTTTTATGTCCTCCATCAGTCCCGGGCAGCTTGATCTGCTTAATCTGCTGTTCATCCTTGACCCATCTGGTCTCAGGGGGAGGGCTGCCCTCAGCTGTACAGGTCACACTGCTCTGCAGACTGTGATGCTCCTCCATGTCAACACTGAGGGGACACCCTGTGATCTCAGGGCCATTTGCAGGTTAAGGACACAAGGCTTAACCTGACATAATAACTGATATTCTCTTGAGAAACAGATAATTTCTCTTAGAGAAAACATGTGCTCCTGGTTGACACAGCAGGTAATATATTTGGTTCAGCGGTTGTGAAGCCTGCAGTGTCTCTGGATTAGTGCTTCAGTAAGAGCTTTTGGATATTCTGTGAAAACTTACATCTCACTTCTACCATCACAGTGTGATTCACAGTTCCCTGTGTGTTAGTAGCTTCATAGGTGAACTGTCCTTCATCAGTCCTGGTCATCTTGACAGAGGGGTCAATCTGCTGTCCATCCTTGACCCATCTGGTCTTAGGGGGAGGGCTGCCCTCAGCTGTACAGGTCACACTGCTCTGCAGACTGTGATGCTCCTCCAGATCAACACTGAGAGGACACCCTGTGATCTCAGGTTCATCTGTGAATAAAAGTATAACATTCAGTTCTATCAAATTATCCTTAATTAATTAATATCCTTAATCTGAATATGGAATACTAATGCAAGCTATCAAATTACAGTATACTGTCCTATTGATGCAGCCTACTCAGTACATTCCTACAGAAAAAAGATATGACAAAACAGTAAGTAGCAGCAGTATTGTGTCATCTGGTCCTGGTCACTGTACGAAGTCTAAAGCAGTCCGTCGAACTGGCGTAGTTTTATTAGTTCTAAATTCTGTGGTGCTCTGGCTGTGGCTGATGAACAAGAAAAATAAATTCCTGTTTAATCTGAAAACATGACAGTCAGTTGCGTAGAGCTGAAGTGAACACATTTCACCACTTAGTGGGATATCAGTGATGCAGAAGAATGCTTTTGACAAAGTGCCCAATAGCAGAACACCAATAAAACAGAGACAAGCGCACAGAATAACTGAATCACAAATGACAAGGTTACATGAACTCACACAGCACTGTGATTTGGAGAGGATCAGACTGATTTGCAGGAGGGGGCTGTGGTCCTTCTGGTCCCAGGTTGAGCTCTGCCTCACAGGTGAGCTGCTTTCCACTGTGAGCTCTGTCAGCGGTGAACAGGTGTCTCACAGACACATTCACAGGTGTTCTAGTAGTGTTGTGAGAAAAGGTCTGACTGTGAATCAGTGTCTGTCCTCTGTACCAGTTCACAGTGAGGTACTGAACGGGAGCGATGTTCTGGACCTCACACTGCAGCTGGTACTGTCTCCCCTCCACCATCTGATCTACTGGGCTGTCAGAGCTGAGAGAGACACTGGCTGGGTACTCTGCAAAGGTAGAAAAAATGGTGATGTTTTTTCCTTTAGTTACAGTACGTTCCCTACCAAGCTCAATGCTATAGTTTAATTTGGTCTGGGGTCAGTTTTTTTATGAGCCCAGTGCTTACGCGAGGCTCAAAGAATGTGCCTTATTTTTTTTTAAAGAGAAGGAAGACACCGTTCACTGAAACAACAAAGGACGCGCCACAGAGTCTGCTCCTCAGCCTGTGGGAGAAACTGCTCTGAAGCTTGAAGTTCTAGGCACAGGGGAAATGCCTGCTTTTAAGTATTTCACAGTGAAAGTAAATATATTGTTACAGCTTTAGGTGACTATTTCTTAGATTAAAATACAGTTTGTGATTGCCAATGAGCAGTATAGAAACACATAATATAAGATCACATTAAGAACGAGGAAGGGGGACAACAAGAAGAGGAGAGAGAGGAGAGACAAGAGTCTGGAGGAGTCAGAACTTGAAGCTTGCGCCAGGCGAGAGCCCCTACTTCATGATCATCCAAACCTGACTGGAGCTACAGTAAGTATTTGAACCTTGTTAGAGAGGGATTGCTATTCTGGGTTTTTAGGGATCTTGGGTTTCCAGGGTAAAAGATACCTCAGTTAGAAATGTCTTTCCTGCTTAGGGTGCATTTTTATGAATAGGGATATAGGCTCCCATTTATTTTGTGGCATCTGGGGTGCAGAGAGAGAGATTTAAGTGCAGGTTGTATTGCATTCCTTTAGAAAGGCAGCTTATCTCTTGTTTGGCTTGTTAGGCATTAAGAGTATTTATTCTTTGTAGAAGTCTGGGGTTTTTCTGGGTGATTAGAATGTCAGGCCTCTGAAACGCCATGTTTGTAAATACTGGACATAGAGTAACTTGTATTTTGTATATATATAACATTACTTTATTAACCCTTTACAATTTCTTGCACTAGGAATTATCTTTTTGCACACCCCAGCTTGCTCTCTGAGACACACAGACAGGGGTCAGAGCACAGGGTCAGCCATTGTACGGCGCCCCTGGAGCAGTTGGGGTTAATGGCCTTGCTCAGGAGCCCAACGGAGTAGGATTCCTCTGCCGGCTGCGGAATTTGAACCGGCAACCTTCTAGCCACAGGCTCAGATCCTTAGCCACAGAGCCACCGCTCCGCCCTTGCATGTTTTATGAGTGCCTGGATTACTACTTTTTTTTTCCCACCAAAGCTGTGCCAGAGAATTCACTGCCTCTAATTATACTGTCCGGTCGGGTATATTCTGGAGAAATCACATAAAAGTTGGGGGTCATGAATATTTATTTTAGTTATTGACTAAACCGCATGGTCAGTCTCTGATTTTCACCATTTTTGTAACCCCCCATTTGTAACGATATAGATCTCATAGTGTCACCGTTTGGGTGACCCCTACATGCAGGAACTGCTCTTGCTCTGTGCTAGCGCCCTTTACCCCCTGCCACAGGCTCTCTTCATCTCCCAGAACCACCAGTGCAGCCAGAGACCGGACAAGACATTTATCATATGTAATATCCCATTTATGAACAGTAATCAATTCCCATACCCCAGCTCACCCAATGCACAGAGCATGTGCCATGACTTGGTCATAGAGCTGTCCAATTGACCCCAGGTACCAGAACCAAGTGTGCCACACAAACAGTCCAGGCTCTCTGGAACCTGTCCCAGTCGGTAACCTGGTGCCTCCTTACGCCACAGTGAGTTAACGGTGAAGTTCTTGGCATTCGTTCTGAACAGCGTGTGCCTGGTGTCCCCCCATCTTGTTTGTGTCTGAGTCCAGTATTTGGGTACAGGGGGGAGGAAGACAATGCTGGGGCCTTCCTCCTCTGCTCTCAGTCACTGGTGTTGGAGTCTGCTCCTGTCCTCGGTTCTGTCCTCACTGGGGGATTTTTGAAGCTCTCCTAACCAGGGCTGGACTCAGAGGGTTGAAGTGTCCCTGTGATGTTTTGGGTGGGAGCAGAGCTAACTGCTCTGGGCTCGTTCAGGAAATGGCTGTACGCAGTGGGCCAGCTGTAAGGATGCCTTGTCCGTGCCCTGCTCTAAGGGCCTACCCCCCTCGATCACAGGCACAGTCACACCTGTTTTGCAACCCCACATGTCACCCCTGAATGGTGTGGCAGTTGCCCCAACGTCTGCGCTAAGGTGGCCTTTGATCAGGGCAGGAATCTCAGAGAATGAGGTGCGAAACTGTATCAACGCCAGGGCAACACTGGACCATCAATGTAACTTAACGTCAAAACAGCCCTTGAACACCTGTGTGTAGAACCACACCCATTCTTTTCACTCCATGACTACAGCATGCCAGCAGGACTCTTCAGTCCAAGTATCTTCATTTTTATTCTCATCCATCTGTTTTCAGCAAGGGGCAACCAATCCTGATCCTGGAGGGGCAGGGTATCTCCGGGTTTTCCAGGTCTCTTTAAAGCAGCAGCAATCGCTGGGCTGGGAGAAGCTGATCAGTTGGTTTAATCAATCATAATACTGTAACATGCTGTTTTAATAATAATAATTGTTTACACTTATATTGCACTTTTCTGGCCGCTCCACTCAAAGTGCTTTACAGGTAATGGGGATCCCCTCCACCACCACCAATGTGCAGCCCCACCTGGATGATGTGACAGCCGCCATAGTGTGCCAGTACACTCACCACACATTAGCTATCAGTGGGGAGGAGAACAGAGTAATGAAGTCAATTTATAGATGGGGATTATTAGGAGGCCATTATTGGTAAAGGCCAATGGGAAATTTGGCCAGGACACCAGGATTACACCCCTACTCTTTTCGAGAAACGCCCTGGCATTTTTAATGACCACAGAGAGTCAGGACCTCGGTTTTATGTCTCATCCGAAGGATGGCGCCTTTTTACAGTATAGCGTCCCCGTCACTATACTGGGGCATTAGGACCCACATAGACTGCAGGGTGAGCGCCCCCTGCTGGCCCCACTAACACCTCTTCCAACAGCAACCTTAGTGTTTCCCAGGAGGTCTCCCATCCAGGTATTGACCAGGCTCACACCTGATAAGCTTCAGTCAGTTCCCAGTTGGGAGTTGCAGGGTGATATGGCTGCTGGCGATAAAGTCATAAAGAGCCGGAATGGACTGAAAACCGACAGACACACGGACTCTGTAGAAGCCTGATCTGGTTCACAGATGAAACATTACAAACGGGGAACAAGTGCACATAAAATTGTTAAAGCATTTATTATATTAAAGTATGTACTATGTTACCGCATGCGTTTAAAAAATGAGTTGTTAGGATATCAGCTACACAGTGGTTCCTGGTGTGACATGCGCGTTTCTTTATTCAGTGGATTTCATGATCAGGTAGCAAGAGGCTCTTGAAAAGCTCAGAAGGGGTCTGATTCATAAAGGCGCGTCTATCCACTGCCTCTGCCTAAATCTATGAATCCTAAGGAAACGCAAGCTGGTCTTTTTGCGAGCGTTTGTAAGACCGCACAACACCCTAAGAGCCCAACAGCCCGCCGCTGCTCCAAGCCTGGGCTGTAAAATTACCCCTTTGAACTCAATTCTTCTCTATCTTGTAACCCGTGGGCACTATAAAGGAAGAAATGCGCAGAAAGTGAACGCATTTTAAAGCGTTAGATTGCTCTAGAAGCAAGCACGCCGCATTTCTTTGCTGACATAAAGGTTTGATTCAATGATTTTTTTTTTCTGGTGTTCTTGTCCAGGTTAGATCTCACTCGCATCACACTGATAGATATAATCTCTCCTTCCAGTCAGGTAAGCTGTCTGAACAGGAATTAGAAACACTCTATGCACTATATTTCACAGCACGTATAAAAGGCTACTCACTGTACAGAATGATGATGAGATTCTTCCTGCACTGCTTGGGCTCAGTAAGGAAGTTTCCGTAGCACTTAGGCTCTGCAGTCCAATCAGTCAGACTGCTGACACTCCAGGTGACAGACTGGGCACCTGTTTTCATGCCTGTAGCTCCAACTGTAGCCTCCCAGCCCATTCCTCTGGGTGTCTGTGTTGCAGTGCAGTTCACTGTCACTGGGTCCCCATATCTCACCACAGGTTTCTGAGGGCTGATCTCAAGGGGACACTCTGGAACAGCTTCTGCAAAATAAGAGTTTTCACTTTGACGTAATAGGGAAAAAATTAACACGATATCTCCTGACAAAAACTGACCAAAATATTTTACAGGGATTGAGGATTTCATTTGCCTGTTTTTTTTTATAATGGTATTGATTCTCTTTCCTGGGTGAAAAATGGATCCTTCAGGGAACTGGCACAACTTTTTATTTTTAACTTATTGCCCTGAAGGAGGACATCACTTGTCTGTTTTTCAGTCCCTTAGGAGTAGGTGAGAAATCTGGATTCGGGAAACGCTGCTCCAATCCACAGAAAAATCCCGGTATAAACCCCAAGAATAAAAAAATGATTTACCCAAAGTAGAGGCAAGGATAAGTCCAAACACACAGGCAGTCCACAGAACACCCATCCCTGTTCTGTCTTCTGAAATATCCCTCTGAGAAAAGAAAAGTTTGCCTTCCTGCTATGAGCTGTGCTCAGGACAGCTCATGGAGCAACTGGAATAAACAAGCTGGTAATTAGACCGTTAAGTGCGCACTGACATGCTGTGTGCGTTTTCAGATTTGTACAAAACACCAAACGCCCACCCTTCCTTCCTTCCCTGAATCTACTGTAGCTGCAAAGTTAACCATGTGTTCATCTTTGTGAAACCGGCTCCATGAGATGTCTGTGTCTGCCGACAAATTGCTTTCTCCCAATGCAGTATTACCCCACATGGTAGGTGGCATCACCCACACTTTCCTGCAGGTGGCAGAAGGACTGAAGGTGAATGCAGATCTGGGGAATCAGCAGGAAGTGCAGAGTCATTATGATCCTTTAACTGGGGTCATAATTAGCTGATTATGCTGTTCCCTCCTCTGAGCCCCAAGGTGGAATCACTATTGCTATGCAGAAGCTACATCGTGTGCTGAGATTTATTCGGTTTTCTTCAGTTGTGTATTAGAATATTGGCACCAGTGTATGCATTTGGGTACAGCCTGGGTTCAGCACACTGCGCAGGGGCACAGTAGCACTGTCCCCACCCTGGGTGTGAACCCACAACCCTCCATTCTGGAGTCCACAGCCTCCTTCTGGTCACTCCCTTGTTGCCAAAGTTGGTTAATGGAAGGAGTTTTTTACATGTTTCACGAGTTTTAGAGAAAAGTGTCTGGCAGCACAGTCCTGGTACTGCACGTGCCCTTTAAAGCTGGAACCCAGCAATTCTTCCTGGCGTAAGAGCAATCTCTGTGAAAGAATTCGGCCAAGAGAGATCTAAGGATATCAGGGTCACATGCAATGGATTCATTAGCTCTAATTAAACAATATTCTGCGTGCAAAATTAAAGTGGATTAGCTCCAGTACAAAGCTTCAGAGAAAGAGAGAGTACTCTCCCATACCGTGTCCCAGTCCGGACATTCATAATTGTCTAATTCTCTTTCCCATATGGACATAACTGGGAATCAACTGCTTAGATGAGCTAAGCCAAATACAGTATAGAAGAGACCAAAACAAAATGTTATTTATTCACACATTTATTGAGTTGTAGTGTACAGTAGGTACATTTAAACTGGAAAAGAAGTTAATTTTTCAATACTCTTGTTCTGATCATGTTCCAATGCTGTTCTTTGCCCTGTATCACTGTGCTTCTAATAAGAGTGAAATGTTTAGCTCGACCCTTGCAGTAGACAAACAGCAGTCCCTTCCTGAGCTTCAGCCAACAGGCTGGAGTCAGCTGGTGGAAACTAGGCAGCACATGGAGTCAGGCCAGTCTCCTCAGCTCAGATGTCTCAGAAGTGGTCCCGGTCTTTCTTCAAAGCCATTTTAACGATTGCTGGGGTCACTTCCATAGGTTGCTCTGTGCAGTGTCAGTGGAACTGCCTACAGTTTACTAGGGATGACGCATTCCCAAATTTATAGATGACACCTATGAGCAGTAACACCAACACAACTCCAATTATAATGCCGATTTTCTTCCCAATGTTTCCTGTCAAAGGGGAAAAAAATCACAGCAGGGTCACTGAATCTTTCTCAGGACAGTATTGCAGCTGATCAGCTGTTTTTGTTTTGAGACATGAGCTGTTAACAATCTTTGCCTTTGCAAATCAAGGCTAATGCAGGCTTATCTGAAAGTGTAAGAACCAGAGGGAAAGGACAGGGAAGGGGCTCCAGGTGAGAGCTAACCACTGATCCAGGATTGTAAGCATCCAAAAAAGAAGCAGACTTTATCCTTCAGTTCTGAGAGAAGGCAGGGTAGGAAGGATGCTTGCAAGTCAACAGATTCTTTGCTTTTTGCTGGAGAGTAGCAAGGCTCACTGTGTGTCTGCAAGAGTGACCGAGCGTGCTGGAGAGAAAATATGACAACCTGCTCAAGTCTGTCAACTTCTCCATGTTGCAAGAAGTTCAGTCTCCTAAGTCTGGCCTGTCTTCTGGGAAAGAGAGAGGTTCTGAAGTGTTTATGGGGAGCTTGCAACCTGAAGATGCTGTCCAGGACAATAAGAAATGTGACCTCTTGAAAAAGTCAGAAAAACTTTGGGGGGGGAGCTTTGGGGTTTTGGTGATCGATGCTATATCTGTGACACTGTGGACATGTTTCTTTCAGATTCATGAATGCGTGTGAAAAGAACAACATTAAAGACAAACCTCCTGGAGTAAATTCCACCTTAAATGTCTTCTGAGCTTCTCCCACCTCATTCGTAGCGAAGCAGGTGTATATCCCAATATTGCTGGTAGAGGTTCCATTGATGGTGACAGTGGACCCTCTGTCTGTGTACTTTAACGCAACATTATCAGCTGTAGAATAAGTCCAGTTGTATCTTGGGGGTGGGTTACCATCAGCACTGCAGACCAACACTGTTATGTTACCGGGGACAGTTTGTGTAGTTTCTTCTGACCGTAGAAACGCAGGTTGGTCTGGAAAAAACAACCAGAATTCCAGCAGGAATGGTAATGGACACCATTTCTGATGTTGAAGAAAAGTATATCTGTCTGGAAAATGCATTTGTTTTACAATGCACACAGTCCACTCTGCTGCTGTGAAAAACATCTAACCCTAAGTCAAGGGTTGTTTCCTTTACTGAAATGATAAAACAAAGTTCTGCATGAAAAGTAACAGAAAACTATTTGTCTTAGGAGTCTGAAATTGTCAGTCACAGAGGACTAATGTGCAATAAAGAAGATGAGTAAATGAGTGTCACACACCACATGCTCCACTTTTTACAGCGTTGAAGCAAATGCATTTTAAATACAACGCATGCATGATCATTGCTGCAGTACTTCTCTTTCTAACCTGACTGTTTTGGAGGACATCTGAAAACTACAAATGCTGTGCCTGAGAATTTAAGCGCAGACTTACAGTTTACAATATTGCTCCCATGCTTTACCACTCTTCTATGTTTACAGCCTCAAAGGTGAAATGTCCTGTATCTCCCTTGCTCAGGGGCTCATCAGGCTCAAGCTCTTGCCCCTCTATCAACCACTGGGTGTCAGGGGGAGGGTTTCCCACAGCTCTACAGGGGACACTGCTCTTGAGACTCTGACCCTCCTTCATACTGTAGCAATGCTGGTAGGACATCCTGTGATCTCAGGATGCAGGTTACAAGAGGACATTTCAGACCAGTGATCCATTACATTCTGCAGTTTGAAGGATTCACCTCGGCAGAGAATGTGGCAGGGCACGCAGCCTCTCTGTCCTCAATTTGTTTTTTAATTAATAGTTTTGATTGTTCTATGTTGCCCTAGCAGCTGTGCTGGGTGTACTATTGGTGATTCACAAAATTACAAACATTAACCCTCCCAGGCAGCAGCCTAGAGCAGTGGTTAAGATTCTAGACCTCCTGC